AAATGGTCTTAGTCCACCATATTTTCTAAAATCTTGATTGTCAGCTACAGCATGTATTACAGCTCCAGCACCTAAGAAAAGAAGACCTTTATAGAAAGCATGATTAACTAAATGAAATAAAGCTATATTATAGGATGACAAACCTACAGCTATTACCATCATACCTAATTGACTCATAGTAGAATAAGCTATAACTTTTTTAATATCTTGTTGAAATAAACCTATAAGAGAACTAAATATAGTAGTAATAGCTCCTACTCATAAACATAATATTAAAACTGTAGAACTATATTCTATTAAGGGAGATGTTCTCATTAATAAATATACACCAGCTGTTACCATAGTAGCTGCATGTATTAATGCAGAAACAGGTGTAGGACCTTCCATAGCCATAGGTAATCAAACATGCAATCCAACTTGAGAACTTTTAGCCATAGCACCTATTAATAAACATATACCAACTATAGTAACAATATTTTCATTAATATATGGTGCTAATGAAAATACTGTAGAATAATCTATATTACCAAAAGATCACAATATAGCAAATATACCTATTGTTAAAAAACAATCACCAACCCTGTTTGTTAAAAAAGCAGACATAGAACTTTGATTTGCAGCTATTCTAGTAAATCAAAAACTTACAAGAAGATATGAACAAATTCCTACTCCTTCTCAACCAACAAACATCAATAAAAAATTATTAGCTGTAACAAGTATTATCATCATAAAAGTAAATAAACTTAAATAGCTAAAAAATCTTTGATTATGCGGATCATTACTCATATATCCTATTGAGTATACATGTACTAAAGAAGATACTATTAATACAGGTATTAACATAGATACTGTTAAAGAATCAAAATAAAAACCTCATAGTACATTAAGTGATTCCGAATCTATTCATCTGAATAATTGTATTGATACAGGTATATTATTTAAACCTACTTCAATAAAAGCCAATATGGCCATTAATGTTGTTGTTATTACAGAACCACATGTTATTATTTGTGCTCCAAAAACTCCAATTTTTCTACCAAAAAACCCCGAAACGAACGATCCTAATAAAGGTAAGACAATTATAGCTAAATACATTATTTATATTCTATTGTAATACTTCCTCTTAATCTATAATAAGCTACTAAAATACCTAGACCTATAGCTGATTCTGCACCAGCTATTGCTATAATATAAACAGCAAATGTTTGACCTAATATATCATCAAAGCTAAGTGAACTTATCAATATTAAAATTGTAATAGATAATAACATTATTTCTATAGAAATAAGCATTAAGATTATATTTTTTCTATTTAGAACAAAACCTAAGATTCCTATTAAAAAAAGTATTAATGTTAAATTCATTTTTTTTTATTTCTTGTTTAATCATAATCATAACTACATAATATGTATGCATATATACGATGAAATCTTATATAATTTCAAAAAATTGAAAGTAATCAAAAGTATAAGGTAATATCGTGGAAAGCAATATTAAGATAAGCGTCAACTAAAATAACTCTATTTATATGGTAAATACAAATACAAAGTTTAAAGCAAATAATATAGATAATATTAACTATAATAATTTACTATATAACTAATCAATCACTAATAATTGCAATAATTAAAGTGGTAGCTATAAATATAAATATAATTATATATACATATTATTATATAAATATATTATATTATTGTTCAGCTAATCAAGATAAAAATTTTTCAATAGACACTGATTCTATTACAATAGGCATAGAACTATGCAGTACACCACATATTTCAGAACATTGTCCATAAAATACACCTTCTCTATTTATAAATACAGAAGTTTGGTTTAAACGCCCTGGATAGGCATCAGATTTAATACCTAAGGCTGGACAAGCAAAACTATGTATAACATCTGCAGCAGTAACAATAAATCTAATATCTGTTAATTCAGGAAGAATAACTCTATTATCTACTTCTAACATTCTTAAAGCTCCATCATCTAAATCAGATTCTGGTATTAAATATGAATCAAACTCAATAAATTCATCATCATTATTCAAGAAATCTGGATATTGATAACTTCAATATCATTGGTGTCCTTCAGCTAGTATAGACATAGCTGGATCATTACCCTCATCCATTAAAAATAATAATTTAAAAGATGGAAAAGCAATAAGTATTAAAATTAAGGCTGGTGTAATAGTTCAAATTAATTCAATTAAAGTTCCATGATTTAAATATTTATGTGATATAGGTGATTTTGTATAAATAAAATTTATCATTATTGATATTATTATTCAACCTACACCAAATAATATTATAAATAAATAAAACATGATATTATCATGTAATTCTACTAATCCCTCCATATGTGGCGATGCACTGTCTTGAAAATATAAACCTCATGGTTTTGGTGCATCACAATAATCATACATATATTTAGGTAATAAATTAAGCATTAAAAAAAGTATAACTGTGTTAAATTGTTGTGTGTAAATTAGATTATATAAAATAAAATTTTTATGTATAAGGGTCGAGTAATATTACTTCATTTTAAAGTGAAGTTTAAAACGATAATTACGTTTAATATATTAAACGTAATTGATTATAACAATTGTTATAATTAAATACTAAAGGACAGTATTTTATATCGAAACTTTTAAAATTTAAAAGATAGTATATATTATACTATCTAACCTATCATTCCCTCCCCTTTCTGTATATATAATTAAAATTTATAACTTATAAGAACATATATTATTTATTATATAAAGATTGAATATATGTATATATGTCTTTGATTTTATTTTCATAATTATATACATTATTTATATCTGTATTTTGTCTTGAACTAATTTTTAAAGCACCTTTACCTAATTCAAAAACAAACCCAATAGTAAGAATAATTAATAAAATAATAACAATAATTAAACCATATATAGAATTAATATAAGCACTAACAATATAAGGATAAATTAATAAAATTTCTAAGTCAAAAAGTAAAAATAATAAAGCATAAATGAAGAAAGAAATGTGAAATTGAGTTCTATTTTGATGAAGGAATGAATAAAAACCACACTCAAAAGGTGATGATTTTTCATGGTAAGGATTATGAGGAGCGAATATTAAATTAACAGCTAATAAAATAAAAGCCAATAAAGGAATAAAAAGGAAAAAAAAAGTTGTACTAGTCATTTAAGGATTAAATAATATTAATGCTAATATATTAGCCATACTTAATCATTCTTGAGGGATGAATATAAACAATAATATTATTAAAGTTAAAATAGATATAGTAATAGTTAAAGAACTTGATAAAAAAATGTGTTCAATTTTATATATTACATGTTTAACATGTGTATTTTTATAAGAAATATTACCAAAATATCTACAATACATTAGCATTATATTCATTTTATAATCAGATTTGTCAAAAAATACTTGTTTTATAATACCTAAATAATAAACAGCACTAATAACACTAGTTAATATAGCTACTAAAACTAAGAAAATATAACCATTATCTAGAGCGGCAGATAAAACCATTTGTTTAGCAAAAAATCCTATAAGAGGAGGTATACCAACAAAAGAAAATATAGTTATAGTTAAACTTAAAGCTAAGACAGGATTTACAAAAAAATAACCTTTTAATTGACTAATTAATTGTATAGGTGATAAATTTTTATCTAACAATTTATTAAATTCTTTATCATCTTTATTGTCATTAACATAATAAAAAATAGAAAATCCTATAGTAACTAATATAATAAATGCATTTAAATTAGAAATAGTATATTGCATTAAATAAAAAATAAATGCTTGTATTGATTCTATACTATTAATACTTAAAGCTAACAATATAAAACCTACGTGTGAAATTGTACTATATGCAAATAATCTTTTTATTCTAAATTGAGTTAAACCAACTATTGTACCTATTATTAAAGACAATAAAGAACTTAATAATAAACTAGAAGTTCAACTAAACTGAAATGCAAACAATGAATTGCTAGTATAATGAACTAATTCTAATAAAAATACAAATATTGATATTTTAGCTATTATTGCTACAAATGTTGTCACTATTGTAGGTATAGCATCATAAACATAAGGAGATCAAAAATGAAAAGGTGCAGCAGAAATTTTAAACAAAAACCCTATGGACAATATAAGCAGAGAAAAATTTATATAATAAGGTTTATATCAATATAAAATATTACTAGTATTATCGTTAAACATATCAGATAAGCTAGTTATTACATATAAACCATCAAGATTAGTTGTACCCGAATTTGCATACAACAAACATATACCTAAAAGTATGAAACAAGAAGATAAACTACCTAATAAAAAATAAGTAAGACCGGCTGATGTAGCTAATTCTGAATTTCTATATAATGTAGATAATAGATATAAACCATAACTTTGTAATTCTATAGATAAAAAAATAGAAACCAAATCACTAGTAGAAATTAAAAATGTAGCACCTGTTGTTATAAATAATAATATTAATGAGTATTCTATAATTGTAAATTGTTCTCCCATTTTATTTTGAATCATATGATTATAAAAATTAAATTTATAAAATAATAGTCTATATATTGAAGAATGTTCAGGTATTAATAATTTTCTAGGATAAAAACTAGTTAATTGCAAAATGGCAGCACTTATCAAAAATATAAATATGTGAAATATTTGTGTATTAGATGTTATGTGGAATAAGCCTCCATATAAACCTATTCCTTTGTCTATATATTTAATATATAAACTTACTAATCCTAGTAAAGAAGAATAAAGTAAAATTATGATGGCTACCCTAGAATAAAGTATTGATTTATCTCGTCTTAAAGTGACTGAATTAGATAATAATAAGGATAATATTGATAGTATTAGCATAAGCCAGGAGAGAAAATCGAATTCTCATTATTAATGTATGAAATTAAAGTTTTAACCCTTAAACTATCCTAGCTATATTAATAAACATAATTTAATTTTTATTATATAAATATATAGGGTGGATACCCTGATTTGAACAGGGAACGTTTTGTGCCACATACAAATGTTCTACCTATTGAACTATATCCATCTTAATAATATAAGAAAAAAAAATATATAAACATACTAGAAAATAAAATATATTATATACTTTTATTAATAATTATATTCATTTTATGTTGGAGTGATTCGAACACTCAATTTTAAATACCAAAAATTTAGGACTTACCTATTAGTCTACAACATATTTAACATTAATCTTATTTAATATAAATATATATATATATAGGTGACAAGACTCGAACTTGTATGGTTAAAAACCATTCCATCCTAAGTGGAACCTGGTTACCAAATTTCAGCACACCCATTAATCTATAATAGTCTATTATATTGTTAAAATATAATAATATTAACATAAAATGCTCGAGATAAGATTTGAACTTATAACCTAAACATCTTCAGAGTTCCGCTCTACCAGGTTGAGCTTCTCGAGCTTATATATGTATTTATTAAAAATAATGGAGAAATTAGGATTCGATCCTAAATTAACGATATGCAAAATCGCAGTTTTACCAATTAAACTATATCCCCTTTTAAATATTATATATAATAAAGAATAGATTTCATTAACTAAATAATATACATTTTTACTAAAAATTAATATAAAAAAAATATATATATATATGAAATTAAATATATAAATTATATTATCCGAAAAACGACTTGAACGTTTACGATGTTAAATCAATAAATCTTAAGATTATCCTGTCTACCAATTCCAGCACTCGGATTTTAATTAGATAATATACATATGTATATTGTATCTCCTTTATTTAATTAATTATTTATTAATTTAATATAAGGCCAGAATGATTTGAACACTCATCTGAGCTATCATGAGCAGCTTGCTTTACCAATTAAGCTATAACCTTAAAAAGCGCGGACAAAGGATTTGCACCTTTATCAACTGGACATGAGCCAATTATGTTTCTATTACACTAATCCGCATATATTTAATATATATATATAAGAAATATTATTATATATTTACTGTTTTAGTTTATTTACTACCTTTAAATAGTAATAAAGCCCAAGGGGAATTCGAATCCCCGCCTTTAACGATGAAAACGTTATGTCTTAACCACTTGACTATTGAGCCTTTAATTCTTTTTATATATAAATATTATTATTAGCCCAGTGCAAGTATTGCACTTACTTCTACCGATTACAAAACGGTTGCATTACTTTTATGCTAACCAGGCTAAAAATTTATTAATCTATATATTTTGTTATATATAGATATATAAACATATATATTGTATTGCGATAAGTGTATTTATTAGTACATAATAAACTTTAGTACTTCATACCTAAAGACATTTAAATCCTTTCAGCTGAAGCCTATTAATATAACAATAATTATTGTTATAAAAATCGTAGTGTTAAACTACGTATATTTAAGAGTATCTCAAAGTAAGTTTCGTGCCTATATGCATTCAGCACTTATCTTTTACAAATGTAGCTTTCCTGCCGTGCCTATGCTATATATTTACTTAAGTGCAAGTAACATCCCTATCTTAATTATTATCAAAAAATAATAACTTTGATATATTAATTTTTTTAATATTGGGCACATAAACAACAGGTAAACCATGGATTTATATACCCAACTCCTTTCGTACGAAGGGGCTATCCTTGTTTTACTCTAATTTCCTCTAGAAGATAGAAACCATACTGTCTCACGACGTATTTAACCCAGCTCGTGTAGCTCTTTAAACGACGAACAGTCGTACCCTTCATGATTTCTACATTCATGTGGATGAGCTAAGCCGACATCGAGGTGCCAAACTGCGCACTCAATTTGTACTCTCTGGCGCAATTAGCCTGTTCAATTTTTGTTATCATAAAGGTTTTTATCCTTTATTTCCATCTTTCACAAGATGGTTCAGACTATGTCTTCATCTTTATTTTTATAAATAAATAATTAACTATATAAAAATAATATGCAACGCTAAAAATATATAAGACCAACATTATTATATTAATGTATAACATATATACTAACATTTATTTATTTTTTACTCTTTTTTTGTTTGTGTATAATATAATTACTATTATAATTATACATTAGATACTCAACCTTTTAGACCGAAAGATCCATTACGTGTTTTAGAATTTATATTTGTATATTGTATATTAGATTTAACATGACCTCTTAAAAGAACTGAAGATAAGCCTTTATAAGAAGCATCTATATTTTTTAAACTACCTTTATATTTCAATTTAAAAATAGATCTTGCAGCAGTAAGACGCCTGGTTAATCTACCTGTAGCTTCTAATCTAACACCACTTATAGACTTATGTTTAATACAATTTAAAATAACATTTTGAATATCTTCTTCTTTTTTAGAAAAAAAAGGAAATATATCTTGTAATAGTTTATCAAATACATCTACATTTTGATATTTTTGTACAAAAATTTGTAATAAAGCATTTAAATTTTGAATATTATTAAGTGATAATGTTTTATCATACTTAATCTTATTTAAATTATTACTTACACTAAGTTTGTTAATAAAAGGTAATTTTATCATATTTAAAGATGTTTTTAAAACCTTCAATAATTTATTATTTCTTTTTCTTAATTTTATTATAATAGATTCAGACAAAATATCACTATTTAAGTATAAATATTCTAAATTAACAATATTAAATTCTACTTTTTTTTTATAAATTTGAGTTATTAATTTTTTAAACTTAAGTAAAGAAGTATCTTCGAATTTAGATTTATTAAAATATAGTAGATTTTCATACAAAACTTTTAACATCTCTTTTTCTAAGGATTTTTTAATAAAATCTTCTAATAATATATCATCATAAATATTAAAATACTCAGAACCTTTTAATTCAAATACTTCAGCTAATAATTTCTTTTCTTTATTTACTTGTTCAATAATACTTAGACTTTCTAATTTTATTTTTTGAATAAAATTTGTGTTATTTAATTGTACTATACTGTTAATTTTATTTATCTTATTAAGATAGTATTTTTTTTGTCTATTATATATAAATATAGTTATAATAATTTTTGAGCTAGTGTGTTTTAATTCCGCTTTACTTACAAATATTCTATTTATAGATAATCGTCTAAGTTTAATACTCTTTTTTATAGAACTTAATCTTTTTTCATGTTTTATATTAAAAAGATTAAAATAAGATTTAAGTAATGTAATTACCATTTTATCAAAAAAAGGTAAATGTCTAAGAGAATTTTTATTATAAGCATAAATGCTATTAGATCATTCAATATTTGCAGGCGGAAAATGTCTAGTATAATCAATATTTTTTTTATTATTATTATTATCTTTATTCAAAGATATTATACTAGTATTTTTAGATGTATAAGCTTTATTAAAACTATTCTTGTAGAATATATTAGACATATTTCTTTATGTTATATAATTTAGCTTAATTTTAATTAAACTAATTATTTTTAGCTAAAAAAAATAATTTAGTCTATTTCATTAATAGAACACGGAGTATTATTAATTATTATACAATAAACATAATTTTATATTTGTTTTATAAAATATAGTTCTTTTATTTTTATTTATATAGTTATGTATATATATATATATTTATATATATAAAGATGCCGGGCATTAGTAGAAAGATTATTGTTAGCAAAACACACCTTCTAGTCGTTGAACGTTCTTATTTTATATGTATAGCAATGATTGTATAAAAATACAAATATAAAGCTTAAATAAGTTTCGCTTCAAGTACACTTATTTATACAAAAAAGTTATTCTTGAAATTAACCCAGTAAATTACCAATAGTTTATATAAGAAACATTGGAGGACTAACATTTAATCCCTAGCGTAGCTTTTTCAAAAATCCAAGACCTTTCCTTTCTGCATCTTGTGATCATATGCCCCGCTTACGCGACTGATAGACGTGTAGGTCAAACAGTAAAGCAAGATTAAGCCATTAAACTTAATAAGTGAAAATCAGAATCATTTTATATGTACTTAATCTAAAAAAAGGAAAACATACAAATAAAACAACTAAAAATATTACTAATTAAATTACTAATTAATATTTTTATCACATCTATTTTCCATATAGTTAAAATCTTACTTGAAAAAAAAATAAATCTAACTTAATAGAAAAATAATTGAATTAGTTATAAGTAAATATATACCAAATAACAAACTAAAAATAAAAAACGTATATAAAATAAATATTATATACATTTAATTGCAAGATGCAATTTTACAAAATTAATTTTGGATATACCCAGGTACTTTTTATGGGATCTGTGCCCCGCATAAACTGCCTCCTAGCAATTGTTCCCTTGCTCATTTATTTAAAATTAAATTTAGTATAAATGATAGCAAAAGTAAAGTAAATATAATAACATTATTTGTTATTAATTTAACTTATTTGATATGATTAACTAAGTAAAGGTGTTTCAATTATATTTTATCAATTACCTTATACACTACAACTTGTCCAATCATATCCAATAACTAGCAACAGTAAAGCTGCATAGGGTCTTCTCGTCTATCTAGAGGTAAGCAGTATCTGCACTGCTATTCCAATTTCACTGAGCCAATCATTGAGACAGCTGTTGTATCGTTACATCATTCATGCAAGACCGCATTTAACGGCCAGGGTATTCCGCTACCTTAGGACCCTTATAGGTAAGGCCGCCATTGATCGGGGTTTCCTTCAAAACCATGCTTATATTAGTCAACAAAGCAAATCCGTTAACCAGCCGACATTGGGCAGAAATCACACTCAATACTTTGATTTATTATCTTATTGCAAAGTGCTTTGTTTTAATTAAACAGTCGTACAACACTATTCTATGCTTCCTTTTCTTTACCTGACATTAATCAGGAGGAATGGCTCTCCTTATCCCGAAGTTACGGTAGTTAATTTGCCGAGTTCCTTAATGATTGTTCACTCAAACGCCTTCGTATACTCTACTAGCTTACTTGGGGTAGTATCTAGGTACGGTTGTGTAATGTTTACTGTTTTTCCAGAACACTCTGTCACTTTATAACAAAGGTTGTTACTATATAAACAAGATTTTCTCATCGTTTAATCCTTTAGGTTAATAAACTTAGAGGCCGTTACTTTAATTAAATACCATAAGCTTAAGGCGAGGGTAAATACCCTTTCTCGTTACTCATATCAGCATTATCACTTGGGTTATCTAATTTTTAATCTTAAAAAGAAAAAATCTAAGATTTGCCCAACGTTCCGCTACCCCATAAATATAATATATTTATATTGTATTTATGGACAAGGTGTCGGTATATTGTTTAGATCCGTTAAATCTTCGATGCTATTACCTCTATAAATTATATAAATATAATTTAATAAACCAGTGCTCTGTTACGAGGTCTTCAAAAAATGGCCGCTTCTAAGCCTATTTCCTGGTCGTATACGATAAAAACTTCCTTTATTTCACTTAACAATAATTTTGGAACCTTACTAACTCTTGTTCTGGGCTGTTTCCCTTTAGACATACAACCTTATCGTACTATGTCCGATTATTCAATAATCATCTTTGCCCTTCCGAGTGCAAATACTCACCGATAAAATCATCACGATTCCCCGATATATACAAAGCGAGTTATTTTAAAATAAAAATAATTACAAGTTGTCTGAGATCACAGTTCTGTACCTGCTAAGATGTTATTTGAATTACCTACTTATATAGGTTTCGCGGAAAACCAGCTATCCTGGTCAGTTTTGTCTTTCACTACTTACCACAATTCATCGGATATCTTTACAACGATAACCCGTTCGGGCTTTTATAACCCTGATCATGGTAAGATCACCAGGCTTCGGGTCTAATTTTAGATACTTATTCATTATTTCATAATTGATTTATCTAGGCATTACTGCTCGCATCTAATATTAACTTGCTGACCCATTATGCAAAAGGTACGCTCTCATTTTTTTTTTTTAATTTTTCTTGAGCTGCTTATAAAACTACTATTTCAACTTAATTCCCTCTCGGTACTTTTCACTATCGCTTATATATCATATTTAGCCTTAGAGGAAGGTTCCCCTTGTATTCAAACAGGCTTAAACCCATTTTACTTAATTAATATACTAGTAGATTATATGTTATTTAGTTTATAAGACATAAATAAGGCCTAATCTTAGTAATAATAACATAATTATTTTTTTATTACAATATTCTATTAAATAGATTCTAAAAATTTTATTATATATTTAATATTAAATATTCTAGTATTAATAGGCTGTTCTACTTTCATTCACACTAATTATAGAATCTCGTTTGATTTATTTTCCTGAAGCTAGTAAGATATTTCAATTCACTTCGTTTATTACTTAATTTCTCTAAGAGTACATGTGTTATTTAAACTTCAAGACACAAATTTAATTAATCTCTCTTTAATATATAGCTAGTTATCCTTAATAGTTTCTTTGTATACTTACCTACATTGTATTTAAAAACAATGTAGAATTAATCCATTCCATATCAATGTACAATACATTACTATTTTGATTTATGTTTATTTTAAATTTATTATATTTAAATTTTAAATATAATTTTTGTTCGGGTTATTATGATTTGAACATAACAACTTCTCAACCCAAATGAGATGCCTAACCAACCTGGCTCTAACCCGTGTAATTTTAAAATACAGAAAATATCCGATTCGAACGGATGTGATCTATTAGATCAAATAAGTCTCAAGCTTATCACCTTAAACCACTCAGTCAATTCTCTTATATGTATATTTATATAATAAAAATGTAGTAATTATTTTTATATTTAGTTCTTTCAAGACTTGAACTTGAATAACGTCCTTATCAAAAACGCACTTTACCAGTTAAGTTAAAGAACTTATATATATATATATCTTTTATATTAAAATATATGATAATATACTATTATTTATAATGACTTTTAATACCAAGAGCACTCAGATTTGAACTGAGAAATTGAAGTTTGAAGCTTCCTATTTTGCCTATTAAACTATGCTCTTTATATATATATATAATAAAGTAAACAAAAATAAAATAAAATAAAAGTAATATAAAACATGTAATATTAAAATATAACATAAATTAATAATCGGAAATGAGATGATTCGAACATCTAAGTGTGAAATATACACAATATTTAGCAAATATCTTACTATACCTGTAGCGACATTTCCTAAACAAAAAATATATAATATATATATATATATACATAGCGAGCTAGGTCGGCTACGATCCGACATCTACTTTCTCGACAAGGAAGTCCTTTACCTATTAAGTTACTAACCCTATAAATACAATATAAATTAATTAAACATTATTTTTTGTTTAAATACGGCCAGTCGAAATCGAATCGACACACATCGTTTGGAAGACGAACGGTCTACCATTAACCTATAGCCGTTATATTAATTTGTAAGACTTATGGGATTTGAACCCATTTACTGGTGATTAAAAGTCACAGGTTTTACCTATTAAACTAAAGTCTCTTTTAGTTAATATTAACTATTATTTTTTAATTATTATTATTATATACCTATCTTATATATAAGGACTTTTAAAAATAAAAGTAAATAGAAATATATTTATAATTACCTAAACGCGTACAAGATTCGAACTTGTATACTTTGTGTCCGTAGCACAATACTATAACCCTTAAGCTAACGCGTTTTTATAAATATGAACAAGGACTAATTTTAGCCCTTAAGATGAATCGAACATCTATACAAATATTAACAGTATTTTGCTCTACCATTGAGCTATAAAGGCTTAAATAAAAAAAAGAAATAATAGTATAATATAATAAAATATATTATTAATATGTTTAAGTTTTTAATATTAATATTTATAAATATTAATAACTAACCATTCCTAATATGTTTTATGTTTATTTTAATAGATATATTTTATCTTTATAACTTATAATATATATATATATATAACTAAATAGTCTTAATGAATTTAATTCTTATCCAAGATTTGAACTTGGATCTAGATATTAGAAGTATCCTGCTCTACCATTAAGCTAATAAGATTTTTATTTATTCAAATATTTTACATAATGGTAAACTATTTCTTTTTATTATTAATTATTTTTTTTATTTAATAATAAAATCAAATTAAAACTACTTTGTAAAGGTAAACTTTCAAATGCATGAGGTTTAGGTGGACTAGATAAACATCATTCTAAAGAGTTATATACTCTATTTAATAATGTTTGTAAAGAATCACTATGAAATTGTGGTGTTAATCAAGGATATCTTGATGTAACATTACCTACTGTTAATTGTACATAAAGTATGTATAAAAATAATCAAGTTGCTATAACTGATATAATAGAACCAATACTACTTATCATATTTCATCCTGCATAAGCATCAGGGTAATCACTAATTCTTCTAGGCATTCCTTGTAAACCTAAAAAATGTTGTGGGAAGAAAGTAACATTAACACCAATAAATAAAACTCAGAAATGTATTTTACCTAATCATTTGTTATAATCTAATCCTAATATTTTAGGTATTCAAAAATATCATGCACTAAATAATGCAAAAACAGCACCCATAGATAAAACATAATGAAAATGAGCTACAACATAGTAAGTATCATGAAAAGCAATATCAAGAGAAGCATTAGCTAAAATAACTCCACTTAACCCTCCGATAGTAAACATAAATACAAAACCTAGAGCAAATAACATAGATGGAGTTAATTGAAGTGATCCACCATAACATGTAGCTAATCAACTAAATATTTTAATACCAGTAGGAACTGCAATAATTAAAGTAGCAGCTGTAAAATAAGCTCTTGTATCAATATCTAAACCAACAGTATACATGTGATGGCTTCAAACAACAAAACCTAAAATACCAATAGACATCATAGCATATACCATACCAAGATAACCGAATACATTTTTGTTAGAGTTTGCACTAATAGTAGTACTAATTATACCAAAACCTGGTATAATTAAAATATAAACTTCAGGATGACCAAAAAATCAGAAAAGATGTTGGAATAAAATAGGATCACCACCACCTGCTGCTTCGAAGAATGATGTATTAAAATTTCTATCTGTTAAAACCATTGTAATAGCACCGGCTAATACAGGTAAAGATAATAATAATAAAACTGCTGTAACTATAACAGCTCACCCAAATAAAGCTAATTTATGTAATTTGATACCAGGACTTCTCATATTAAGTATAGTTGTTATGAAATTCATAGCTCCTAACAGACTACTTATACCTGCTAAATGTAAACCAAAAATAGCTAAATCTACACCTGGTCCACTATGACTTTGTATACTAGATAACGGTGGATAAAGAGTTCAACCTGTTCCTACTCCGTTTTCTATTAAACTAGCAAATATAAATAATAATAAACTAGGAGGTAATAATCAATAACTTATATTATTAAGTCTAGGAAATGCCATATCTGGACCACCTATTAATAATGGTAAAAGAAAATTACCGAATCCACCTATTAAAGCAGGCATAACCATAAAGAATATCATAACTATAGCATGTGCTGTAATAATACTATTATATAACTGATTATCTGCTATATATTGTACACCTGGTCCTGATAATTCTAATCTTATTAAAACAGAATAAGCTGTACCAATTAAACCTGAGAATAAAGCAAATATTATATATAATGTTCCTATATCTTTTGCATTTGAAGATAAAAATCATCTTTCTGTTCATAATGATATGGATGATTTAATATTAGACTTTATTGGTTTTTCTTCTTTTTTTGTAATTATAATATTATTGAATGTATGTTTAATAATATGCGAACCTATCATACATATATAGGACAATTATATCTATATTTTTTAAAGATTATATTCTTTTCATAATTATTATTATTATTTATTTATTAATATTAATAGTAATAAATTATAGACTTTTTTTAATTTTAATTATTATACTTAGTTAGTAAGAATTTATAATTAATTAAAACAAACCTAAATATTTATTTATTTATTATTATTTAATTATATTATATTAAGAACCTCAATAATATATAGATACAAAAAGAAATAGTCATACAACATCAACAAAATGTCAATATAGTATACCTGATTCTAACCCTAAATGATGATTATCAGTAAAATGATAAGCTAATACACGTCAGAATCCGACAGTAAGAAAAAGTGTACCTATAATTACATGTAATCCATGGAAACCTGTACCAAAATAAAAACAAGATCCAAATGTACCATCAGAAATAGTAAAAGAAGAAACTGAGTATTCAATACCTTGTAATGCAGTGAACACAATAGCTAATATAATTGTAAATATTAAACCATATAAAGTTCCACTTCTATTACCTTGTATTAAAGAATGATGAGCGTAAGTAACTGTAACACCAGATGATAATAATATTACTGTATTTAATAATGGTAATTCAAAAGGATTAATTGACTCTATACCCATAGGAGGTCATTGAGCACCTAATTCAATATTAGGTGATAGTGCACTATGGAAAAAAGCTCAAAATATAGCTAGAAAAAAAAGACCTTCAGATACTATAAATAAACCTACACCCATATTTAAACCTCTTTGTACTGATAAAGTATGATTTCCTAAATAAGTACCCTCTGATATTACATCACGAAATCATAATGACATAGAACTAATTAATGATATAAAAGCTAATAATAAGAAGTATTCTGCATTATTAAAATTATGCACTGTTAGAACAAATGTAGTTGTTAGAGTTAATAATGCAACACAAGTAAATATAGGTCAAGGTGATGGAGATACTAGATGAAAAGGATGAGCCTGAAAATTCCTTCGACTTAAATTTGTCATTTTTTTTTGTTTTCTTTTTATTTAAACATATAATAATTCATTTTTTTTTTCTTTGCTTTTTTTACTTTATAATATAATATATTTAACTGTATATATTGTATTTTCACAATTATTTTTTATATTTAATAGTTAATCTTATATTAATATAAATAATATATATTATTATATTTTCAATATTATAGTTAGTATAATAAATAACTATATAATACTTAATAGGGAATAAGAGATTTGAACTCTTAACCTTCCGTGTGTAAAACGGTTGTTCTACCGTTGAACTAATTCCCTGTAAATTATTATAAAATCATTATAATAATTTATATATATATAAATAAATAATATATAATTAAAAGGTTTTATCCCATTAAATTACAATTTAATTTTTTTGTTTTATTGTTATAACAATAGCACCTACCATAGCTAATAATAATA